TAGAGTAGTGCACGTTTTACAGCACAGGAAAAGGGAACAATGAATAAATTCAGGTTTCTCCTGACTTTTAATAATGAGCAGGATGATTTGATCAAAAATATCAGCACCTCACAAACAAATGGTGATGTTATTGACAAATGGAGAATACTATGCTCTTCTACTTCAAACTCCTCCCAAATTAATTTTGTTTTCACAAAATGAACATTTGCCTTTTCCACATCTGTGTTTGACAGCAGTCCATTTTCAGCACAGCCACCATCTGCGTGGGCATTCCTACTAGCAGTGGAACATCTATGCACCAAACCATTTTAGTAGGTTTGGGATGAATCAAGAACAGCTTCAGAACATGCCATTTCCTTCTCCCAAAAGGCTGCCTCCTGTAGGAACGTAAACTTCATAAAGGATGAGGAAAGTGAAGCCAGGTCTATACCTTTACTGTCAACCTTTCTGTTACCACTGGGTGAGAATAGACTTACATGGTTTGAAGTTCCCCTCCATGAGACAGCAAGAAAATGAATAGCAGCAAAGGTAGGGGAAGATAGTGCGAGACTTCCCAGCATATTTCAATTGATGTTACTGAAACATGATGCACGTGACTGGAATGTTTCTATCACTGTCTACAGGAAAGAATGAGTAATAAGGTGTGAAGGAGTAAGACTAAACAAACTAAAAATATTGCTACTTGTATTAATATCTCAGAATTGCAGAATCTTAAGTGCCCATAAATAATTGCTAACAAAAGCCTCCACAGTACTTCTGTTGCGGATCTTAACTCATCACTAAGTCATCGCAGAGAAGTATCTGGAAGGGATCAGGGTGGCCTACCATAGCAGGTAGGGATTAACAAGGCAAATTATTCTTTGGACAACAGGCTTAAACCACACACAAGGTGTTCTTTATTCAACAACTTTGGGATCAATAAAGGAAAAACTGCACAAGCTTTAATGTCCTGTAGGCAATCTAATGGTTCTTTTTTCTCTGTAAACTATGAATCAATTTAATAGCCCTTCTGGATATAAGCTGTTCCTGTATGGAAAACACGATTCAGATAAATCTGTCAGTCACTTAGTTCCTGGTTTTTCCTTAAGGCAGGATGTATGTATACATACCTACGTAATTTCTGACACATTTGTCTAACCTGTTCCTAAAAATCTCTTACTGGTGGAAGTGGCATCCCTTTTTTAGGCAGTCTATTCTAGTGCTTATGTATTTGCTTTCAGTGTTGTTATTGTACTGCAGTGCTATTTGCTTGGGCATTTCTGTGGCTACGAACAAGAAAAGCACCAAAATCAATATGAAATGTACTCATCTATACTTTTTAACAGGTTTGATGGTTGAGATTGATTTTAGAAGAAATTAAAGAATTTGAGACTGCTCAATTCAGTGATATAAGGGAAGTTGTTACATCTCACACTGTTTCCTTGTAGTGAGCAAAATAAGGTTTACACAGAAATGATGGGCAGTTAAGTCATCTTCATTAACAATTCCTACAATCTTTATGTGAAAAGCAATTGTATCAATATTATATAACTGTTCCTGCTGTTAATAAAAGTGACCCTGCATTGTCGTGACAGGGAAATAGAGACTTACTACTGCTTTTGTACCTCCTCATGTTCTTGGATTAACTGGGTTCTACAGTTGCAAATACATTACAGTAACAGATATGGTTCTTCCAGAAGCACATGCCCTGCAGGCAGGCTGTCAGGTAGAAGAAGGCAGCGTACATGGATGTCTTTCATCTCAGCCTCTGTCCTAGGTGCATTTAGAGGTGAAGCTCTCCACAACGATGAAGCAGGGCACTGTTTTGCCACCCAGTCACTTCATGGCAGCATGCTGACCCACTGCCAGCTCTGACAGCTTTGTTGTTCCTTTTAATCCTATTATCATCATATTGGAGAGGCACCTCATAAAATTTATAAAAACTTGCATATTATAATACATTTTAAGAGGAGCTTGAACAATGGAAGAGGGATCTCACTGTAGAAAGAAATGTATCAGTTGAGTTTCATTTGTCCCACACCTCTGGAGCCTTGTTGCTACTAGTTCCATAGGTCATAAAAGAAAAGTGAGATGCTGTGTGTGAAAGGTAGATGACAAGTTCATTAAGGGTAATACTTAAATACACAGGTCCTGGCAGGAAAAGAGTTACTGTCAAGGAATCCTGGGAAGACTGGCTCTCCAGGAGCTGCAGTACCTTTCCCTGAATTCTCACTGCAGACAGCACTCCCATGGAGTCACAGTTTGACATGCATTTAAAGCCTGCCCCGCCACTGACAGATGCAATTGCAGCCAAGGACTACGCAGCGGTTTTTGCGTGACAGAAGCACTGTTTACACTGGAAACTAGTTCTTTAAAATATGTGGATTTATTAGTTCAAATACAACAATTGAAAGGCCTGGCTGATCAAATCTAATTCCTTTATCAAGTGTTTTCTATAAACACAATGAGAATACACTCTGGCTGTATTTAAGAAATAATTAATGCATTTGGAAGTTTTACCTATGAAGTTTAAAACACGCTAGATACTACTGAACAGAAGTATTCAGCCAAGGACCTTACAGAGCAACCATTTTCCATATTTCCCAAGTGTGTATTTATGTGTTGTTTTCATTGCACTTCTAATTCAGGGAAGTTACAATCATTCTACACAGAATCACAAGTCACAATGTAAACTTACAGCAACATAATGCACATGTCTCCACCAAGGTGAATGTGAGCTGTTCATAAGTGGGTCTGTTCTCCTTTTATAAAAAGAGGTCCAGCCATGGAGTTAGGAGCATGCATTTTCTTGGCACAGATGCAGTTTTTCTAAAATAGAAGTGAGATGCTTACCACTTGATGGCTGAGCACAAGTTGGAAGCAGAAATTGTGTCTGCTATTTAGATTCAGTACTATATAAAAGTTCTTTGACTGATATGTGAGAGAGGGTCTGGGTTTGTTTGGGTTTTGTGGGTTTTTTCTGGTTTTGTTTTTTTGAGAGAGGCCTCATGTTCACTAAACATTAAGTTGTTACAAATTAACTTTTGGAATGAGATTACAATATTCCCTACAGAAATAATTAAAGTGGGGACTATGCTTATTTTGTTTCTTTTTTTTTTTAAAGAACATATGCAGTGTATTTAATTTTCCTGAAAAATAATAAAAGATTTTAAAATTATGGTGATGAAAAGGACTCCCAAATTAGATACCTCATACTCTCTCTCCAGAATCTTTAATTCTTAACTGCTATGTTGTAGCTAAGTTATATACATTGGCCAAAGAAAATTAACACACACACGCACACACGCCATCCAATTGTCCTTTTATATTTTTATTCGGTGTTAAGTAACTTCACAAGAAAACAAAATCAGTTACTCTGGTGTACGTGAAATCAGAACAATACAACCACTTGAAGCAAAAAGTAGAAACAAATTTCAGCCCAGGAATGGAAAACTGATACTTCAGTGCTATGGATATGCAATGCGCTTCATACCACAGTAAAATATGCCAACCTTTAATGCTTTTGTTGTTGTTGTTCTTGTGTGTGTTTCTATCCATACAGAAAAACTAAAAACCACACTTCAACTCTCACTGAAAGCTTTAGAGCTTTAGCCATTAAACTATGAAAACAAGTAACAATTTGTTATTGCCGAAGCTCAATATACGATTTTATTTTCCCCAAAGGTGCTGGAATTATTACATGCCACAATGTAACTATAGGCAACACCTTTGTTGTTTTTGAGCCCTTTCTTACCAGAGGCAGCTCTAGCCAAAATTAACTGAGCTGAAGTTTGTGTTTGAAATATGTCCATTTGGTCATTTCTTGTTCTCGAATGAAGTTCTATTCCATCCTTCACTGTAGTGATTTGAAGAATTTGTGTGTAAAGTTCTTTTTTACTTTCATGTTACATTTAACTAGTTCTCAGTGCAGGTGCTAAACAACCTCTCAAGGAAGCTCCAGAAGAAAGTAAAATATATAAAAATCTATCCAAAGTCTGCAAATAAATTAAGAAAAGAAACTGTAAAGTGTCAAAAGATTTGTTGCATGAATACAAACCCTAAAACATACTCTAAGAGGAGGACCAAAAGAAAGTCCCCAGGTAAGGACAAACCAAGCCAATTTTAAGTAAGGATCTCAACAAAAAGCGTTGCACAAAGAATGGCATGGTTTTCCAACCACGTACTTAAATTCTTACATTATCAATTGAATAAAGGCAACAAAACCCAGTTACTCAGAAAACCTTTCTAGCACAGAACATATTTCAAAGGCAGTTCAGCTCACATTTCAAACAGCTATAGTTCTCGTTAGGTTTATTGCCTGTCAACATTAATGGTTAAGCTTTTCAAGTCAGTATTGGACTTTCTGCACTTCCTGATGTTATAGACATGCTGCTATTGTATAGACTAGTTAGGTGGTGTTTTTAAACTATGAGTTGGTACAAACTTAAATGTTTAGTTTTGCAAATATTGCTCCTCCTGGCTTATACATTTTGCATAATGTGTTAAAAGCACAAGGAGTTGATAGTCTTGTACAGATGCAACTTGACAATGCATTGACTTTCTAAGTTAACAAAATAAAATTTAAAAGCAAGTCACATAAAGCAACAATCACTACTGCAATCACACATGTATGTTGTAAGTCATCACTTTCCCTCCCCCCACCCACCACACACGTAACTTGCCCCACACATTCTCTCAGAAACACAAAATGAACTACGAGATTTACTAAATTACAGCCACAACAGCAGCTAACTGCAGCAGCCACAGGATTTCTTTCAAGTGAAGCACTGACCCTTTGCATTTCAAACATTGAACACTCTGAGCATTTTAGACTTTCAGTCATTCAGGCTCAAGTTCAGTACAGGATGCTTTTGCAGGTTACATGAATGCCATCATCTGCAACAAGACAACATTCTCATTACTCGTTACAAAATTCACAACAATCCACACATCACCCCAGTGGTTTATTATTTTTGGTGTTACTTCTGCCCCACATTGGCAAGTTGCTAAAAAGGACAAAAAAAAAGAAAAAAAAAAAAAGGAAAGAAAACCCCACATTGCCTCCATACCTACAAAAAATCCTTGGCTTCTCCAGTTAGCAAAAATACAAACCATGGTATCCTCAGTGTTGGTTTGCGGGAGGGGGGAATCACAGGATAGAAAACACAGTTTCTGTAAGTCTCTAAAGCACAACCCTGTTGTTCCTACTTCAAAGTTATGAGAATTACTGGATGAAGACTGGACAAGTCATTCATGCTTTTCTCCTGCATTCAGAAAGGCACTGATAGATTACAGTGTTAAGTATTTATCTCCCAGTTCTTAAAGAACAAAGCCTAATGTGCAGAAAGCTGAAGTCTCTGAATAGCAGAAGTAGTTGTAGACACTGCGATGCTAAGAAGATAGTAATAGTGGTAGGGCTACAGTTACGAATGAAAATAACTGCAATTAAGATGCAAAAAAGCAGTGGTACTACTAAGACAAGCACATGCACATCCATTCTTGATTTGACAACACAATCTAGTCTAGTTCAAATAGCCAAGAATTTAACAGTTTTTTTGGGGAAAAAAAAAATCTTCAACGGGACAGCTGTGTCCTCATCTATAAAATAAGCAAGAAGAGAAAGATAAATACACATCTGAATCCATTAACTGAAGAGGAAACTCAAGTTGTTGTTTTAGAGCTACAGACCCTCAAGGATAGTTTTCCATCTCATGTTACTTTTAAATCATCTGTTCTATTCTGCAGTTTTTATAGTTGAGTTCGAGAAAAAAGCTCCTCCTCACATGGATCAGCCCATTCACTTCCACCTTCTGAAGCTGTGTCTTCAGAGCTGGAGCTACCACTGGAGTAGATCTTCTTCCTGAAGCCATTTGGTTTTGCCTCAGCATTTATATCATCTGCACATCTTGCTTCATAAACAGAAGAAACCTAAGGATTTAAACTGACAGTGTTGATGGGGAACAATAAAAAGCATGCTTGCTTTTTTTCTGAGCTGGGAGGTTATATATAGTTTTGTAGTTGTTCAAGAGAGATGTCACAATTATAGGGCAAGTCCTCCTCTTTCCTGACTTAGTCCACTATGTAGAAAGGACTGCAGAACAGCAGGAAAAAAAGGTGAGGCCTTTATTATTTTTTTTCCTATTCCTTAATTTTAGGATTTGCACAGAGAATCAAAAGGGAACTCAGTTAGAATGCATCATTATCACAGGTCATGTTAGAAAATTACTGTAAAAGTTACATTGAAAATTTGGTACTAAGTATTAAATATCAAGAAAACACAGCACAGATCTGACTAAACTTCAACCAAAAGCCATATATTTTCAGCAGAATCAGCACAGCTATAGCAAGCGTGTCACAGTGTAATTTAAGTCCTATCGTCACTACAAAGTTTAAAAGTGTATCATGAAGGTTTTGCCTACAGCAAAATATCAGGTTTTTGTTCGTAAGCAGGACAGAATTCAGCACACATTATGTTTACACCTTTAGTTACGGGTGCTTTCTGCCTTCATAGTGCACATCAACCCACTCTATGCTTACTGAAATTAGAAGCTGAGCAAAAAAAAGACTCATGTTTAACACACACAACAAGCAAAAGCCAAGTGTTCCCACAGGAAACTGAGTTTGCTTAACTACTACAAGTCAACCTCTTTGTACAAAGGGCTGTACTCCCCACAGTACAACACTGGGGAGTTTTCAGCAGAATGTTTGAGACTCAGAAGAGTTTAAAACACAAAGTAAGGAAAGAAAAGCTTCTGAAGGTTTTCATACGAATTTCATTTGAGGCCAGACTGAAAACTGTAATGAAAGAAAAGACATGGTGGCACACCCTTATAAAATAAACAAAAAAAACCTTCTCCCCCAGACCAGTGACACACTTACCATATTAAAATCTAAAAGATGTTCATCATCATTGGATACTTCCTTTACATCTGCAAATTCTCCTACACCATTCTCTCCCTTGGCATTTGTATAACACTCTTACATTGTGTTTGTGGGGGTGTTCCAGAGAAAAAAGGAAGAAAAAACAATTGAGGAACATTGTTATTTACATTTAGCTATAATGAAATAATCTAGAGAAGTATTCTTTAAATTTTTACTCTAGTGATGTAAACCCTCTGCTTGTGGGGGATTTTAGTTTCAGATCCTTAAAGGGATAAGCTTGATACCTTAATGATTTTATCATTATCAAATCTTACCTGGATAACCAAAAAAAAAAAAAAAAAGATACATAGTCAATGGAAATATCTAAAATAGTAAGATACAGAGAAAAAAAAATTATTTTTATTATAAATGGTTCAGTACATTTTTTCAGTTCTGATAATGCATGGTGTTCCAGACCATTCATACTTCTATGCCCACACAAAACATACTGCAACAGCAGCCTGCCCTTGACTGAAGCTCAAAAAAAAAAGTTGACATGAATGGCTGTGGTTTATACTTACCAGAGTAAATTTCCATGTATAATATCAACATATATCACAGAGATATATATGGATCACATGCATCGATATCCATATATAAAAAATACCCATACAGAAAACTGGATACAGCTAGCGACTTGTGAAATAACATTAGCTCTGAGGATAAAGCTCTGGTTTTGTTAAACTTAGTCTTGAAAGAGGAAATCCTGTAACTGTTCTACTTCACAGTAGAAAATGTGCCACTGCATCAAGCAGGTTCTGGACTTCATAGTCCAGAATTTTATACTGTATATTCTGTCTTCCTCTAACAAAATAAGGTGGTGAAACACTGAGACAGTTATGCAGATTCACCAGCAGATGTCAGCAAAAAAAGACACAATTCACTCCCACGAATTCTCTGTAAAATACATACTCCAGAGTGCGAGTCACCCCATTTACTACACCAACAATACCTCTGCAATTATCACTGTGGGGAAAAGCACTTTACAAAAAGACACTAAAAATCTCTACTTTGTAAATACTGAGTTTTTTCTAATGTGGGAGGTTCTGTGGCCAGTCCAGGAGGCAAATCTAAGTCCTGTAGGCGTCAATCTATTCTCTTTCACTGTGCAAACACATTTCTATAGTTGGGAGTGAATCAGGTTAAGAAATTCTTAAAAGTAACCCAGACTGTCCTAAGCACCAAAGTAAGGGCATTTAGGCACTGAGAACACCGTTTCGTTGGTTGCACTTTAAGGTACACTCCAAAAATAGTTCAGTAATAATTACTGGCTAATCTACTTCCGGATTATTAAGGAACCAGGTCGCTGATTAGAAGTTTCTTGCACTGAGCCCCTACCAACCGAAAGCATCAGATATCCTGTCAATTCAGTATACAGAACGTATTTATTAAGCTTCTTGCATTCTCCCCAGAAAAGGTAAATTTGAATGCAGGCAAGAAAAAGCTGTCTGGATTCTTGCCTGTCCACTGAAAAGCTGGGCATGGGCCAGCTGTCAGATGCTACAAATTCTTGGGAGGCAACAGGGAGTGCTGGAAGCACACCTGCTTCCGCTTGCAAGCAGCCTGCCTACCAAGACTGGACTTACTCTCTTTGCGGGACAGAAAAATTCCCAGATTGTCACAGTGAAAGGAGTGGCCAAGAGGCAAGTCCCTCTCCTTCCCAGCTGGAGATAAATTCCACACATTCACTGAATAACTAGCATGTTACTTATGTGAACCCATAAAAGGTAATTATCATGTTCTACCTAACAAGTATCATTCAGGTTGAAACATATTAAAAAATGTAATAAAGTATTTTCAGAGTCAGAGATTAATATTCTATTTACTTAATTCCAGGCTCTAGAATTGAGTAAATTTGCATAAATGTTAAGACTACTTTAAAAGCACTTTCATTTAAAAACTATTTGGAAGCATACTAGAGATTTATTACAAACATAACCGAACCATCCTAGTTCTCTCTCAGATAAGATAATTTATTGTGGAAATGTACTGTTTTTTAAAAAAATACAGATGGTAGTTCCAATTCATCTGCAGCAACTCCAATTCGTAAGAAAGAGCATCTCATTCTAACACAGGGGCAAGAGCACATGAGTTCAACCAGGCGTAGCTTCTTACCTTCACACTGTGATGCAGGAAAAAGGGGAGAATAGAGCGCCTTTTCCCACCAGCATTGCTTTTCCTGGCTGCCACTCATTCTCTGCAGATTAGTATTCAATATAGGAAAGTGTTTAGACAATAATCACACTTTATTATGCCAAAAATAATATACTCACAGGTAAAGGACTAAACTCTGGTGTTACAACCAATTAGCTAGGTCTTACAAGTCACACTGTTCAATTTCTAATACTGATGGGACAGGACTGTCAAACTAAAATAGAACACCCATTATCTGAACTCTTATGCACAATATGAACTCCACGCAGGGGCTTATACTTTGCCCCTATTTGACAATAGAGTTGTACAAATCCAGAACAAGAAGATGAATTCCAGCCCTACACTGTATAATCTAAGGACAAAACCAGAGAGAACAGGTAGCTACCCAAGAGATGAAAATACAATAAACCAACATTAGTCACCATGACAAATGGTGCAGTGTAAAACAAAACAGAAAAGACAGCAAACAAAAAGCAGCAAAATTTAAAGTCTGGAAGGGTGAATTAGCAGTATTATTACCATCAACGTGATAACATAAAATTAAACTAGAGAAATAATGTGTCAACATGAGGAAAAACTGGTTATGACTTATTATTTGTCTTTATGCTAAAAATAATCTCAGTCTACTCACAAAAAATGCCTAAATACTCCCCTCACCACATTAATGCTAGTTTAAGTTTACCAGAGCCCTTTCCTTATGAAATTAATAGACACGGCTAAAATACCAAAGGCTTGTCACAACAAACGTCCCTAGTTTTATAACTGCACCTGTGGTAACCCCATTAACCTTCAAAAGATGATGCCAGCTTGTAACATCCCTTACAGATGTTAGCAAGAATGATTCAAAAACAAAGTATAGCGCAACTAGCTACTAAAAAACAGTAACAAATGAACTTCAACACTGAGTTTCTATCTAGCTTCCTCCTCTGTAAACTTGACAACATTTAAGCATGGAAAATTAACAAACCTCCTGTTGTTCTTAAACTACTGCAGAACTACAAACCTACAGAACCTAAACTTACGAACACTTATTACTTAATAAAGAGAAGTCCCTCTCAAACCAAATGAGAAACTCAAGAATGCTCTATTCTGAAGTGTGTGCCAGATTAAACTTTTTTCCCCATGAAATTCTGCTATATTAATATTGAAATTATCCATGCTGGTTTCCTCTCATAAACCCAAGGAACAGTCCTTTTTGGAACCACCCTCCAGAAGCTCAAACCCCAACTCCAGAAAAGGGAGTTCTTATAAAGTTAAACCATAGTTTAAAAAAAAAAAAGGACAAAAGAAAGGGGGGAAAAAAAAAAGCTCAAGGGTATTTGAAGCAGGACTTAACAAGAAATATAAGCATTTACAAATATATTTGATCATGGAAGCCTCACTCTGCTGCTGACTATGGATACAGGCATGTAAATTCCACATGTACAATGCCTTATTAACTTCAACGTTTCCCACATCACTGGTGTCACACCTGTATTCATATCTGCACACGTGGTAAACTGGATGAACCACAGCAGGTTACAAGCAAAGCCAGCTTGACCTTGGCAGCATGTAACAAGCTACAGCTACTACCTATCTTGCTGCTTGGGCTAAGTCACCATCAGAGCTTATGTATCTGCTTCAGGATGGCTCCGTGACTGAACTGATGCCAACTGTAGGCTGCCTCGGCTCCCGTGTCCTTCCATCACTGCCTCGATACCAGAAGAGTTAGAGAAAGCCAGAGCCACATCTGCTGGCTGAATGCTGAAGCAGCCAGGCAGGACTTCAGTTTGAGCTCAGACCTGGCCCTCTTGCCCCCACACTGATGCTCATTGTGTTCATTTCTAAACCAGCATTAACACCAGATATATAAAGCAAAAGCATGGATGTAGAAAGACCCGCTATCCATACTAAATCCATTTGAGGGTTTTGTTTGGGAGGTGATGGGGGGCACGAGCTGATGTCCATTTCATACATGCACCGACAATTTTTTCCTACAGTTACTTAGATGTTTACTATAATTACACAGTCTGTCATAATGAAAATTCCTGTGAATTAAAGAAGTACTTCCGATTAGTAAATATGAAATACCAACTCCAGAATATTACCATGACTGTACCTTGCTTTGTTGGCATTCTTTCCCTTTTAAAACTGCGTTTACAATTTATGCTTCCTCCTTCTTTCACACACATGCATACACTTACAGCATTCTATGAGAAGTTTTATTAAATTTGCCAGCTACCTATCTAAATAGCTACTATTCTCAATGCTACTGCTATTAGAAATTGCAAGTGGAAGTCTTTCCTCTCTGAAACTACTCATATTTATTTTACTTTGTTCTTAAGCAGAGCTCAAAGACAACAAGGCAAATGCAACTCCAATGCTGTTTCACTCCCAGTCTTGCAGCAGGTCTGAGAGAAGACTAATGGGTTTCCTTTCTTGTTCTACAGCTGGACATACGTTAACTGAGGTTTCTCTTAGAGCTTCTGGTTGAGGCGATGTGAAATCCCATGAGAACTTCAGTATTCACAAGCACAAACACTACTGTAATGTTACAGTTATGCAAGATTATCTAGGCATGATAATCTTTTCATAGCTTTCCAAGCTTGTTAGTTCTGTCTCTCAGAAATATCCTGCAGTCATTTTTCTGTTTCTGATTTACTTCTAGGACTTTCAGGTGTACCAAATCTTTATTTTATTGGCTTACTTTAAATCTTGTTTTTTCCTCATGATTTTTATACTGTCATTGTGAACTCTGTTTAAGTTCCCTCTCATACAAGATACTTACATCCTTCAAAATCTCAGAAAATTAATGTCTTATGAATGAGGTTAGAGCTCAGAGTCTTTGTAGGTGTTTTCATCACCTGCCATGATCAGCACATATCAAGAACTATCTGGACCAATCCTTTCTCAGCCCAAAAATTACTCTCTCTTTAACAATGAAGCCCTTTGCTTTGTATGTGGACAACTCTAGGTGCTCTTGAATGTTTTTCCCACTTGATTGTCCTGATTTTAAGGCATAAGAGATCCCTCTGTGTTTTGGGTTTGGTTTGGGTTTTTTTGGGGGGGTGGGGTGGGGCTTTTTTTGTGGGGTTTCTTTTTTCCTTTTGGGGTTTTTTGTGTTTTTTTTTTTTTTTTTAATCTTAAAGCTAGGTGAACTTCTGCAGGAGCTATCATCAGACTCCCGCTGTAAAATATACTACAATAATATAAAAGGTAAGAAAAAGGAAACTGAAACAGATTCTCCTACAGTCTTATAAACAGGAGGCATTCAAAGATGTGTGTTTGCACAACTTGTATGTAATTCCAGTTTATGTGATGCAAACCGAATGTTTTACTATTACACTGTGGTCTATATAAGTATTTCACACACGTTTATGCAAAAGTATTGGAGGTACCTCAGAACACAACTCAACAGTGAGTTAAACAATAACTTTAATTTTTATCTTAAGTCAGTAAATGGAAGCACAAAAGCTCCATTTTTAAAAAATCCTTTCAAATACTGATCTATACTAATTGGTCAATTCCATAGCCTCTACTCAAGTTAACTCTTTTTCCCATGCATGTACATGTGGGGTGTCCAGGAAGAACGCTCCTCCTAAACTGTTCTAATTCTAGGTATTTTATACTGTTTTGTTTAATGCTCATGAAAATAAATAATAGCATTCTTAAAAATAAAAAAGTTCACACACAGAAGAAATACTTGCATGACGTTTTGCACCCCTTCCTGCACACAATATAGTCATCATATTTACCGATTAAAGTTTACTTCCTAACCAACATATTTAAATTGTTTTATTGCTTAAAAAACCTCTTCTGTTACAGACAGACTTAACTACAAAAATAAATCTGGATAAATGCTCTCAAGTCAAAAAGCCTATTATCTTCAGATGCACACTAATGGCTCTTAGAAAAGCCCTGAGGGTGCACACATCCTCGAGACACACTAGATACAGGAGGGCTAGTTAACCCAGTCCTTCTGAGTTTAAGTTGTAATCAGGCTCCTCAGGTCCCCTAGGAAGAGCTTAATTGCAAAACAAATTGGAGTCTAGACTGCTGAGATGGTTGCTGGCCCTTTGTACTTCTCAGTGGCTTATAATTTTGAAGTTATGAAAATGCCTACAAAAACCACGTGACATGAGCAAGGGAAGCAGTTAGTTTTCCTCTTGCATTAAGGAATTTAAAGAAAATAAAATACCAAAGCTTTCTGAGCACTATTCAGTACCAAAGTTTTTTTCAAGTCTCATAGCTACCATAAACTGTGGAACTACTGTAAACTTATACCAGACACTTACTACGTTCTTGAAAGTGAAAATGAGAATAAACGACCTCATGGAGCACCGATCAGCCAGAAAGAAGATGTGGAAAGGGCTGGAAGGAACTTTAGACTCTTGTTTGTCACAAATAACTGTATTATACCATTTGGTAATTCATTATGTCCTAATGCATAATGAAGTTTGATTCTGCTTACTCCTGGTAAAAGGTAATTCCAGAATCTGTTCTGACTTACAGTCTAAGTTTTTTTTGGGCTGGTTTTTTTTTTTGTTTTTTTGGGGGGTTTTTTTGGGTTTTGTTTTTTTTTTTTGTGACTATTTTGCAAGGCCCGGCACAACCCCAGACACTTCCCAGACTCCAGAAAACATGTGGAGCCACATCATCCTCATTAACTTAACAGGGCATTAACAGGTGGGAAGAGAAGCTGCAATAGCAATAATTTAAAGGAGGATAAGAGAAGAGACAAATGAGGAAGAAGGAAAGTAAGGAACTCTGATTTTATTCAACAAAAAGTTAGCTTTAGTTTTAGCAAGAAAAAGGTTAGCCTTTCCACACATGAATTAGTCTTTCAAACTTATAATTGAAGAGTACACAATTATACAACCCAAGTTGGGTGCAACTCTACATCTAAAAATGAAAAAAATTCCCTCCTAATGTAAATACTACAACTACTGAGTATGCGGAAGAGGAGGCTGAAGAGGAAAATAAAATGCAACTTCTAACTATCCAGACAACATCTCTGGGCTGGCCACACAACCAAATTACTTCAGAATAGACCAGACTATTTCAGTTGGAAGGGACCTACAATGATCGTCTGATCCAACTGTCTGAGCACTCCAGGGCTGACCAAAAGTTAAAGCATTTTATTAAGTGTCCTGGGTTAAGCTGAGACAGAGTTAACTTTCTTCATTACAGCTATCAAGAGGCTGTGTTTTGGAATTGTGCTCAGAAGAAAGCTGATAAAAAGTGACGTTTACGCGGCTGCCAGGGTCTTTCAGCTTCTCTGGCTGTCCGCAGACCAGAGAAGCTGGGAGGGAGCACATTTGATCTTAGGTTTGGGATTGAGACCCAAAGTGGCCAATAATCTATTCCATAACATACACGTCATGCCCAGTATATAGGTGAGGACCCTCCAGAAGATCATCCCTTTTGGTTCCGGATCTCTTTTGCTCCGGGTCATCTCGCTCCAGGTGGTCGCTCTCCCAAGAGCTTCCCCCCCCCACCCCGGTCAGCTCTCGGTATGGGATGCTCGGACTGTTATCTCCGTTCCGTGAGTGTGGTTTCAGGACTCTCCCTGCTCCGGGATCGTTAGCTGGGAACAGGCTGAGCCTTGGTCATCGGGTGGGGGGGCAGTATCACTGTGTATCACTCATTTGTATATTTGTATATAGTATTATTTTCAATATTATTGTAGTTTAGTTATTAAATTATCTTATCTCAACCCACGAGTCCTTTTTTTCCCTTTTCCCCTTTAATCCTCTCCCCTGTCCTCGGAGGGGAGGGATTGCATGAGTGGGTGTGTGGTCTGGCCCCCAGCCAAGGGCAAACCCATCACATTAAGGACGTTGTCCAAATACCTCTTAAAACACTGACAGGTTTGGGGCATTGACCAGCTCTCTAGGAAGCCTTTTCCAGTGTTTGACCACCCTCTTGGTAAAGAAATGCTTCCTAAGGTGCAGTCTGAACCTCCCCTGGTGCAGCTTTGAACCATTCACATGCATCCTTTCACTGGATCCCAGGGAGAAGAGCTCAGCATCTCCCTCTCTGCTTCCCCTCCTCAGGAAGCTGTAGAGAGCAGTAAGACATCCCTCAGCCTCCTCCTCTCCAAACTAGACAAACCCAGAGTCCTTAGCGGCCCCTTACAGCCCTTTCACCAGCTTTGTTGCTCTCCTCTGGATACATTCAAGGACCTTCATTTTGCTGGTCAACTATTTCTTCTCAAAAGCAGAGGGAGCTCACAACAAGAACAACTTGGATATTTTCGGTTGGAAGCATTTGATCATTACTTAACTTATGGCTAAAATGAACTAAAATAAAACTCTGAGCTTAACTGATAGTTAGTTAGGTCTCCTTATAGTACTGTGGTAGTGATGGAGATTTTGTATCCATGTTTTATTTCTTTTTGTGTTTATGCTAGTAAGAGAACATTTTAATTTCCAGACAATTAAACCTGTCTACAAACCTTTCTTTTATGAAGTTTACATCAAATAATTCAACTCCAAATTCTTCTGCTTGGAAGTAGCTATAATTCATATTGCAAAGACTGAATTCAAAATTTTAAAATAGGTTTGAATCAATATGAGTAATACCTCATTATTCAAACTTTGTTCACATTTTAACATATTATATATAAGTCAGATAAGCTAAAAACCTAAGGTAAACAGATTTTCAAGTCACATGATTGTACACATGCATATATTTCTAAAGGTATGCAAGATGACACTGTAATGCCTGAAAATGGCTCATTTTTCACAGAACAACATAATGATTGAGATTCAAAGGGAACTCTGGAGGTCATGATGTCCAACTCCTTCTGCTCAAGCTGGCCCACTTAGAGCAGGTTCCCCAGAACCACGTCCAGATGTCTTTTGAATATCTCCAAGGATAGAGACTCTACAACCTTCCTGGGCAACCTGTGCCAGCATTAGGTCACCCTTACAGTAAAAAAGTTTTTCCTTAGATTCAGATGGAACCTCCAATGTTTCTACAAAACTGTATTTTTCTAGAGATCTATACAATTACAAACATTTAAATTGAACTGTCACATGACAAATTGCTGGTTATCAGCTGCCAGCTGCAAATTCCATAACTTTATACATCCACATACCTCTTCAAGCTCTCCTGAAGAAACAGGATTATCCTCGTATGTGGGGAAATGGCACCCTGCTTTACAACCGCAGAACCTGCCAGTCTCCTCACGTGGCTCCACTATTCTGCAGTTTACTTTAGAACTCTCCATCGCCCTCCCATCTAGAGATTCTTTCATACTGCATTCTAAACAGGGATCTTGGTTTCCTACTGGCAACATCACAGATGACTCTTCTTGAGAATCCAGTGATGTTTGTGCACTCTTCTCCATTCCAGACTTTTTTAATCTGGGAAGGAATTTTCCAGATTCAAGCTCTGATTTTCCATAATAATGCCCTTCTTTTTCTGCATCTTCTTCCAGAGGTTTGAGATCTGCTTGTGAATCCTCAAATACATCAACTTGAGAAGGGACAGCAATACCTCCCTCATCTTTTTCTGACTCAAATTCTGACTCACTTCCACCACCTGGAGAAAGTTCAGATGCAGAAATTGGACGAAAATGAGTCCTTGGAGAAATCCGTATAGCCCTGTATTGTGTTCGATCAACACCACATATCCTGGGGTGTAAAACCTCACTGTCTGAATCAGAGCACAGAATTGACTTAGGTTTAAAACTAGGGCTGAAAGATGCAATTCCTTCTGGCTCAAACGAACACTCTACATGAAGAACTTGTGAAAATGGATTGTTCAGGTCAAAGGAAGAGAATGAGTATTCAAGCCCTGGCTCTTCAACTTGAAAGTTACCACAAGCTCCCAGTAAGTCTTCATGGAAGATAAAAGAAAAACCCTTATTTAATCCGTTATCTCCACTCTTTGATTGCTCATTCTGTTCAAATGATACAAATGGCCTCCATAATTGCCTATGACCAGGGGCAAAGCTATTACCTGGAGTCATAAAAACATCTGTACCAGCTATTGTCACTACATCAGAAGCTGCACACTGTAATAAGCTCCCTTTTGAGTGACTAGGAGGCACCACTGCCCATTCTCCATCACTGTTAAATGTTTTGAGCTCCCCATACACACCACCAAGTATAAATGAGTTTTCTTTATCCTGGTTAACATCCCAAGGTTTTGATGGTGTAGTATAATCACCACCATCTACTTTTGATAAGTCATTTGAGACAAAGGCTCTCTTCTCTAAATTCTCCTTTTGACCTTCCCAAAGATGATACTCTGATCTCTGCACTGCTTTATTGGGCTCCTGGAGGGTTTCAACTTTTGCTTCTGTATCCAAACAGCAGCAATAGTTATTTACATCAGTCGAAAACAATTCATCTTCTATTCCTTCTATTTCTACCATCGCTGCAGAATTTCTGTCTGTCATATTTGTCCAAATATCTTTAATAACCCCTGAGCTGTAGCCATCTCCATGTGGACTGCTTTCACTACACCCTTGTGTAGTTTCATAGTCTTTACTTTCTGCTTTTTGTTCTAGCTGAATACCACAGACAGATTCTAGCTTAGATTTTTTTTTGAAAATCAAAGTGGGCATTTCTCCTAAAGTTCTAGCTTGTTGCTGGCAGGTTTCTTCTGGCAAAAAATCTAGAATTTCTTCATCTACATAACTTGAAGACACTCTAGGAACAACATAATTAATATCTTCTGCATTAAATTGCGTGGATTCTTCATATGGAATATTTAAAGTCTCATTGTCTGAACGTGTTTCTTCCGAATGTGACCATGGACTACAGGTTCTTGTTGAAAGATTGGAACAGTGTTCATTTTCATCAAAGGCACTATTTTTGGTCCATATTAGCAATCTAGACTGTGTTTTCCCAAGAATATTAGCAGTGCTACTAGAATCTGCATTTTCATTTCCCAAGTTGAGTGTTTCAAAAGAAAATGGTAAAACAGAGTTACTGCATTGCACTTCAAACACTGAAAAACAAGAGTTTATACCAGACCCTTCATTAATATCTGAAAAGAGCTCTTGATTGCCAGCAAGCATGTGTGAATTAAGCATTGTGCTGTCTAAGATGGGGGAGAATCTGACTGGAGAATCTCCTCCAAAACTTTCCCCATCTGCATCACCAGAACTAGAAGATGAACAGCACTCCCAAAATTGAGCTAAATTACTAAGGTCTTGCAAGAACCACCCTTCAGCACCAACAGAGCTGGTCGAATCTGTCCATATTGCACTTTCCCCTTGCAACTCCATTCCATCTAACACTATGCAACATTCTGCCTCAAAATCAGTTTTTTCTTTACTCTTTTGTCGAATCATATTTAAAATCCGACTCTCCCCTTGCATCGTATCTGAGGCACCAGGATCCAACATGGATTGATCAATATCCACTTCATAGAAGTGTGTGAGTTCTGACAGATGAACATCATCTAAATATTTGTCGTCCTCTGGTTGAGAACATATTGAGGTCCCAGTGAGGTCAATATCCTCATTTAGAACTGCAGGCATTTCTACAAAGTGACCATCAATGAAAGTACCTGCTGCGAGGTATGTTTTATGAATATTATTGTTGCTAATACAAAGACCATGCACTGATTCAGACAACTCTTCCACAGCCTCTGATGTTACGCCACATATATCTTCTCTGTTGCGGTATGTAGTCTCCAGCTTGCTTTTTCTGCTAAGAGGAACAAAGTACTCTGTAATAGGCTCAGTATACCACAAGGGTTCTTCTTTATATTCCTTTTCATTTCTGCTGTCTAAATACAAATCTTTTCCATCACTACCGCCAGCTTCTTTTCTTCCAATCTCTTTTAATGGCCTTTTACCTCTTTTGCACAGCTGTTTGATGGACCCGCTGCTACTGCTGCTACTGCTTCCGCTGTGGCCTTTTCTATCAGCCTTTTCACCAGATTTCACTGAAAGCCTGCTTTGCCCATTACGCCCTTTTTTATTTCGAACCTCTCTTGTTTTGTGTCTTACTTTAATGCATTTTGTTGATGCCTTGTATTCACCTTGGTTACCACTAGAACTTGAGCCAGCCTCACTGGATCCAGATGACCAGGAGCGAGGACGCATCTTTCCCTCAGACTTATGTCGGACTTGCTTTTTGTACAAAACAGGCTTCTCTTCAACAGTGTTACTACTAAACTTGTTTTCTTTCTCATTTTTACTTTTCTTCTGCTGGGTTCTTTCCTGTACAGTGGCAGATGCTTTATTACTTCTATCTTTAGTTACTTCACTTTCACTATTGCAGTCCTTTGGAGAAGATGTATCTGTGCTAGTTGGTGGAGCAGTGGATGAAGATGAGGAGCTAGAGTAAGAGCATACTTTAGATTTATTCCATACAGTCATAATTTCCTGCAGGCAAACTGGCTTTTCAGAAAGAGGAGGAAATGCTTCATAGTACCTGAAAGCAAAACAAAAAGGTGACATTCAGATTGTAGAATTTCAGACAGGCATTAAGATTAGAAGGTATTACCAAAAACACATCCACAAAATCTAGTTTGTTCTACATATGCACATGCCACTCATCGTACTGTTTATTTGAGTGACAACAAATGGAAGATTAAGATAAGTTTTAAAAGTGCTTATGTTAATATATGTTTAAAAATATACTGCCAAGTAAAGCAATACCATTTTAGGGAGTACTAAACTTCACTGTAGACAGAAATTGTGTCAGTGAAGGCCTGAGTCCAGATTGATTAGATAATGTAGCAATTCACTACAGTCTTCTCAAACACGTTTGATTCAGAATCTAAATGAGGAATTCCTGAATTTCAGGGTTTTTAAATTCTCCTTTGTGAAACTGGATACTATCTGTTAAGTCCTACATAGCTTGATCATCCAGCTATTAAGAAAAAGCTATAGCAATTGCAGAAATCAAACATCGCCAACAAGGTTTTGCAAAGATGGTCAACAATCCCTGACTTTTAACAAAACATCTTAGTTATTGCAAAACAGGTGTAGTTCTACAGTAGTTTAAGATGCTTAACAGCTTTGTCCAACAGGGACAAGATTAAAATATGGTTTTCTGCAATGTTTAAATTAGCATGTGTTTGACATTAAAGAGATTTATACTCAATTGCATATATTCCAATTAAAACCTATTAAATTTTCAGAAGTCAGTGAAGTGCATATTAGCACAATCAATTCCTTGAAGAAGTATCATCTATTTAGTAACACTTCTACTAGACCGTTGCTAGCAATGGTTATTACTAAGAGATACAGAAGCAGTCATATCTCCAAGTGAAATCAATGATAAAACTCCTGGGTACTTTAGTAACACCAGACTCAGGTACTTGGTAACTACTAAGAATACTTGGGTTATAAAGAGGTTAAAGTTTATATAGAGTTTCAGTTTCCCACTTCTGCAACAGAAGACAAAGAGTTCTGGAGACAGGAAACTTGATTCTCTTCCTGCAACTCTAACATGTCAATTAACGGTGTTTTAAAGGCTTTTAATTTGCCTGACTGACTTGGTTTTAAGGAAACTTGAGTTCTGCATACAGTTGGAAGAAAGTACTCAGGACTTTGACAGAAATTAAACTAGCCCACAGTATCAAATGGTCATATTTAAATCTCTAAAATGAACAAAAGAAGACAGCAGGAAAAAAAAAATTCTTAATATCCACAGAACTCCAGTTTCCCCACTAAATTAACTTCACTGTTTTAAAATATGGGAGCAAAAGGAGAAAAGCATCTCAGATAAGAATAATAAAAAATGCATACATTTCTACTTGATCCTTTGCTGTGGGAGATAAATCAGTCTCAGGAGACAAAGAGCCTTCTAACTTTTTGTGAATCTTCTCCTCTGTTTTGGAAGAAAATTCCAAACGCTTAATAGAAGAGTTCAAAAAGCCAGTGTATTTTATAACAGTATTTAACAAAAAGCACCCAGATGTATACCTGTAATAGCAGTAAATTTCCATAAAACACTGTAAATAACAGAACAACTTATAGTCTGACTGCTATAAAGAAATTACAAATTATCACCAAAGACTCAAGTTTTCCGCAGTTGTCTTTTCAAGCCCTAGCGATTTCACCTAACAAGACTGGCTAGCAGCTGCAGGCCCTTTTGTAGTTAATGATGTCCTCACTAGGAGATTTTCTATTGAATTTTTAGCTATTTCATATTCAAATCCTTATCTCCTTACATTGCTAGATAGAAATAAAAAAAAATGGAAAATTAAACTCAACTATTTAACCAAACACTTTTACAAATGGTTGCATCAAATTTATCACGTATTTCACTAAAAGGAAACACCTCTGCAGTAGCTGCTGTGCTTCGGGTGGATGTAAAGGCATATTTCCTGTGGGAGACGTAGCTCTAAATATTTCTAAACCTTTGTACTAAAATCTGTAAAATACCAAAAAAAATGCTGTCAGATACATACTAATTTTACTTTTTTTCAAAATAAATGGTCAGCAGCATTGTGGCTCAGTAAGAAAGTGTCACAGAACAGCAGTATGAAATGAGAGTTGACTAGTAATTACTATTTAAAAACAGAAAAAGGGAATCAAAACAGATAAAATAATGCTTTAAGCAGGTAAATATTTATCCTTTATTTATTGCTATTTATGCAACACCATAAACATATTAATATAAGTGTTAAAGGCTGCTGCTATGTACCTGAACAAGCATTTATATGCAATGAACTTTCATTTGAGACACTACAGGTTTATATTATGCTCAAGTAACAGAATCAAGCCTACTTTATTTTGATTTCTTTTGGTGGGGAGGGGGGATCCTGAATATGGAATATTTACTAAAAATACATACATAGCTGGATATGAACAGTCATATCTTTTCTTGAGGAAAACTCCATTTGCGAATGGCTATTTCCTACGTCAAGAAAGCACACTAGCACAGAATAGCTCGAACTATTTGAATGAAATTATTCAAATGTATTCTAAAATTGCACGGCCTGTATTAAAAGCCACTGAATTAACAGCCTGCTCTCCCACCCCTGAGTCTCAGAATGTTACACAGTTGATAAGTACAATATATAGCCTCAAAAGTTTAAAAATTATTCCTCACCTTGCTTACTCTGAAGGTCTTTCAGTCTGGAGCAAAGCTCCTCCACTAAGGTTTCAATCCCAGAGCTCTGCACAACAACAAAACCACAGGGACAAAAACAGAAAAAATTTTAAAAAAGAAAACATAACTTAGTAAAAAGAATATTCATTTCATAGAAAGACATCAATATAGTAAACATATATTGGCAGATATGTATGTTTGTTTTTGCATGGTAACTACACATTAAAAAGAATCAAAAATTATTATGAGTTATAAATCCATTCCTATAAAAACATTCATTAGAGGTCAAAATGATTCCATGAAACACATAGATACATTCACACAGAGGCTTCAAACTCCAAGTCACAAGCATTATTGTGTATGCAAGGTTTTGAAAACTATACAGTGTCACATTTACTGCACTATATCACTTAGGATTTATCAAGAGTCTCAGGACAGAAGTTCAAGAATCAACTGACCACTAAGATACATTTTAAAAAATCCCTTTTGGTTGAATAATTCATACCTGTGAGAAAGGGACTGTCAAAAGGATACAGAAAATCAGGAATGAAGGTAAAAAGGAGAACAGTATGAAGATACACACGTGTAGGTGGCAGAGAGGGAGAGGAAAAGCTTCCACAGTATCTTCATGCAAAACTTATCCCATAGATTTGCCAGTTTACAATGCCTATTTTTGTTCCATTTTAAACACTGTGTTGTTTGCTCAGGGAAAAATAAACAGCCTATTAATCTGAAAGCCTCTATTTTCCTCCTTTATTCTTTCACATAAACCTTTCATACACTCAAGCTTCCTTTTAAATCCCATTTAACTGTTATTCGCACATGCTCCTGCTTTTACTGTCTACCTAGACTTGTAAGCAGTTCCAGATACAGCAACAGCATCAGAACAGCAAAATACTGAACACCCCCCCCCCCCCAGGGGGAAAAAATTAT